GGCTGATAAAATATCCTAAACTTCCAGAAAAAATACAGCAACAGCAGACGGATGCCGACAGACTGCTAACCAGCCATAAATAATGACTTAGTAGGAAAAGTAATTATATGGCATTTTAAGAAGGAAAATCCTGTCCAGTGCCTTGAAAGACTCGGTGTTTCTATGAAGAGAACAGCTGTATTCTTGTTCTTTTTACATGTCTAAATTTTCTTAAGACCATCACGGGACGGTTTAACTGTCTACATAGCTGGACATGTTTTTATGTGTTTAACAGCTGTTGTGATAAAAAGAAACCAGTCCTATTTAATGTGTGATCAAATGTTGTTTCCTTTAGTTGAAAAATTAGTTTGCCAATGACTAAGCACAATGCTCAAAAAAGTATATCTTATCTTATTTTAAAAGATGAATATTAAAGATATTTTAAGTTATTCATAGGTGCTTAACTCAAAGCAACGGCTCTGCCAGTGTTGAAGGTTGAATTCCCACACAGACACTAAAGATAGACTGCTTGTCCTATTCATTCTGATATTATGTGTAATGGCTCTCCTTGACTCATCCGTAGACTCCCACAATCCTCCCACAATGAGCTCTTTGCTGAGCCAGCACTTCTCAAAGGCTAACTTTCTCTCTTTCTCTTTATGGGTCTGCCTGTCAGTCTGGTTAGCTGTGTGTCATTGAAAAAACTAAAAATAGATTTGTCTGTGACCTGACACAAACTCAAACCTGAGGATACTGTTGTTATAGGTGAAATATAACTCATTTTTGGAAATTCATACATTAGAAAACCTATAACTATATATATGATCACTGAGTACATGATTGAAGTTGCTTCATTAAGACCTCCCCTTTTTTTTCTTTTTATCTTTTGGTCCTTATCTTTGTGGTTGAGCAATGTGGAGATACATTTGTAAGTCAAACTGTGTTGGCACCACTGTGACACCGTCTTGGTAAAAAAAAAAATGAAAATCTTGATAAAGTTGATAAGGTTTTAGTTTCTATGCAAGTGTCGCTTTCTTTGCATGTTCAGCAGCTGCTCTGACTTGCTGCTAAGTGCAAGAGAGCGACCGGTTACTGACTGTTCTAAACAATATAAGAAAAATACAAGTGAAATCTTCCAATCTCCCAATAGAATGTTTTTGTAATGATCAACTTGGTGGTGATTAAGGTGAGATTCAGTAACTTCTACACATTTGTCATTTAGATATTTTTGGCCATGGTTTTTGGGATGGGAATGTTGGAGCTGTCGATTGCTCGATTGGCCACCTTTGGTTCCAGTATGTAATATAACAACTAATTGATGGACTGTAATTACATTTTATATGGACATTAATGGTCCTTAAGAGGATGAGTCATGCTGACCTTGGTCCCCTGACTTTTCTCCGCCTTTTAATTTGTCCGATATTTTGCTTTGTGACCAAATGCCTGCAAAATAAACGACATTGTCTTCAGCTGCACTTTGTGTACAGACTAATTAGCAAATGTTAGCATGGTAGCATGCTAAATGAAGGCGATGAACATGGTGAACATTATACCTGTAACCTGCATTGTCGTTGTGAGCGCGTTGGCATGTTGGCATCACTATTCTATCCTTAGTCACTAGTCTTGTATCTGTGTGTGTCATTTGCCAAGTAACACAATACTATAGTTGAAAGGTGAAGGGGCTGAACAGTAATAATGCATGGCAGCTTCTGACTGGATGGCCTTCTACTGCAAACTGGTACATACAGTATGCAGTGCAGCAGTAACACAGTGGAACTGTCACAAACGCTCCATCAGCCATGTACAAGCAGAATCACTTTAACAGTAACATCTTGTGCAATCATGTGTGTGTGTTCCCCATTTTCTGTCACTGCCAGTGTGACTACACAGAAAATGAGACGCGAGACATCATGCCCAAGTCTGCCCTTGCTTCTGTCTGTATATGAGGATTTGTGTGCATGTGTGTGTGTTGTGAAAATCGTGGGAACTGCAGAGGAGGATGTGTGTATTTATGAAGCTGGCTCAGAGTTCCCATGATTTCCTCCGGATAGAGCGGGACAAGGCGGGAATCCTTTTGTATCACAGTAACCCCAGATGCAGACTGATTTACAGTATACTGTGAATATAGACAGAATAGTGGTTATATCCAGGATTCACACTTTTTGGTATTGTGCAAGAGTTCAGGTTGGTTGCCTCTCTATAGTGATTAAACATGACCTGAAACATTGCAACTGTATCAGAGAGCATGGTTGTGAGGTTATATCTGACTGTACAACAGCCTTGAATATCACAGATGAATAGAAACAACAGGACGATACGTTTTCAGGGTGATGCAGTAATTTTGTTTTCAGTTTATTCTTTCTCATTACTGTTGTGTCACTATTTATAACTTTTGGCAAGATGACAAGTTCTTAAATGTCATAGAAAGTGCTGGTCAGGCTTAGGGTGCAGATGTTTCAAGTGCCCTGATTTACAAAAAACTAGACGAAGGAAGTGATTTAAAATGAAACCATTTCCAGTCGAACCCAAGCGAATTAAAAGCCCCCAGTAGCCAGAATGAATCTGGCCCAGGCCGAGTTGGGTTCAGACTAAGAACTGATGATATATTCATCTGTAATGAGTCATAGGTCACCAAAGTTGAACCGTGGGCCACAAGGTTGTGTAAACCTGCACTTTCACAATCAGCTTTATTTCAGGTTTTTGTCTCGGAGCTCTACTGACCATGCAACACTTTTGTCATCCCATGTGGCTTTGACACTGCTGCCACGCTGTGACTCTGCTCAGAAAAAGAGCTTGTATTTTTGTTCACACTTTGCAAGGTTTCAGGCGACTTGATCTGGATGGAAATGTACTGAATAGTTAAGCATTCTGGGAAATATTGTTCGCAGGTGGTGGTTAGCTTAGCTTAGCACAAAGACTTATGGCTATGGGAAAAAGTTAACCTGGTTCTATGCAAAGTTTAAAAAAAAACATGCCTATCTTCTGTTGGTTTTACACTGAGGTATGTGGTGGAACTATTTCTTGGTGAATAACAACTGGGTGAAACCAAACCGGTGCTGTATCAGGCAACCTGCAGAGAGGCTGCTCTGCTGTTTGTCAAGAAATAGTTCCAGTGCATAACTCCACTCCAAAACAACACCTATCATTAAAATGTAACAACAGATTAAACTACCAAGACGCAATGTGTTTATTCGTGAGCTTGAGAGCTGCTGGTAGGAATATTTTTAACACGGAGCCAGAACCAGCTGTTTCCCCCTGCTGCCAGTCTGTATGCAAAGCTATGCTAAACATGTCCTGATTCCAGCTTCGTACTCAAAGCGGCTATAATCGAATAACAATGTGAAAACACAGCGACAATGTGAAAGAGGTCATTCGTAGTGATGGACCTACAGAGAGTGTCCCCCAAATCTGCAGCTCCCTTGGATTTTCTGAAGCTTTATAGTGAGTTTCAGCTCATTGTTTAGCTGTCTAGCCGTTTTTGTTCACTATCAACACCGTTGTCAGCATCGTTTTTGGCCCCAGCAGGCAGCTGTTTTCAGTGGAAAAGCTCAAAAAAACCCACTGTACACCACCTGCTCAGCACCAGATAACAGACAGACACAGGTAGCAACTATCTGGTTAACACAGCGGGGAGATTAGCAGCTAAAGAGACGGATATTTCCCTGGGGAGTTGATGGAGAGTAAAAACAGAGCTAAAAGAGAGTCAGTATTGAACTTACATTCACCAGGTGTCCACAAACATGACTCTTACACAGTGATGATATGTCAATATTGTGTTCCTAACTTGTTTACACTGGCTCCGTGTGGCCAAAAAATGATTTACTGTTGGTTTAAAGTATTTTTTGCAAGCCAACAGCCACTTAAGCTACAAGTTATGATTACAGGGTATTTGTAAGTGCTAAAGTTTTCAACAGTAGCAAAGTAGGAAAGAGTTGTGAAGTTAGGCAACTTGATCAGTAATGTTAGTATCTATATAAAGTTTAGCTACCATATGCTACTGCTTATACCAGACCAAGTAACCTTAAACCTGACTTTGTCCCCTTGAGTGTACTGAACAGAGTAAATGTGTGTTACATGTTCTCACTTTAACACACAGCCTTTGGTTTTGATCTTCTGATTTCACTCTCAGAAAGAAAGCAAACAAGCATTTTTCCCAAAATGTTGACTCAGTCCTTTAAGTGAGGTGGCTAGATGGATTTCCCCATCACTGTATAGGATGGATGTGAAGCGGAGTGATCAGTTACCCTTCCCTGGATGAATAAAACTTAAGAAACCATGCCTCTGGGAATTCTGGGAAAAGGGAAAAACTGTTTATTTCTTTAGTTAGCGGCACAGATTGTGCTGTTTCTCATGACACACATGGTGAGGTCAGTTCATGGGTCAACTTCTCAGGCTTTCTCTTATACACACGAACACACACACGTGCACACACACACACACACACACACACACACAAATGTGAAAGAGGAAGAAAGAGTGTGCAGCTTAAGTAGGAGAGTCTTGTGTTTTTGCATGTGTGTGTGTGTGTTCGTGTATGTGTGTGTGTGTGTGTGTGTGTGTGTGTGTGCACGCTTGCTTCTGAAGTTAGCCAGTCATTAGAAGAGAGCTTTTACAGAGTGTAAGAAGAGAGGAAGTGGTGGTTACTGATGACTCAGCCAAGCCATGCATTTCATTCTTTCTCTCTCCAGTCTCTCTCTCTCTCTCTCTCTCTGCACTCTCCTCCCTCTGTCATCTGCTTTTCTTCATACATTCTATTCATTCCTCTTTTCTATTCTGCCTCTTTATTTTCTGTCCCTTCATTCTCTCATTCTCTCTCCCCTGTCTTTTCTCTCCTCTCCTGATTCATCTTGACCTTTGGAGGTATCTTTGGGAGTGTGTGTATGTGTGTGTGTTGTGTGTGTCTGTGTGAGTAGGACACTCAGCAATGTGTGTGGGAAGATAACTGGCTTCCTTCAGAGTGATTAAAACATTCCTTCTCTCTTCTTTTTCCTCTCTCCTCTTACTCTCTCTGCCCTTCTTAGTTTGCAGTGAAGACTTTCTGATGAAGAGGAGAATGAAGACTGACAAACTGGTAAGTGAAAGCGAGCTGGACTTCAGGTTTCTTACAGCACTGGCTGGTATTTTTCAAGCTATGAAGGAATGCAGGTCTTGGAAAGTCTCTTCTGTCAGATTTTAGTGTATGGGCTAAAGAGCAGGCAGGATTCAAGAGCTAGCTGGAAAATATTACAAATGTTTCCAGAGCTTTGCTGAATTGCACTGTGTGAGGCGCTGAACGTCTATTTGATGTTACTTTGACTTCATTTTATTTCTCTTAAGTCTTCATAAAGCAGTTAATGAATCGCCTTTTTATAAATAGATCATAGCGCTGGATTTTCAATAAGTAGCACAGCATGCAAAAAAGAAAAAAAAAGAGGTTCGCCTTTTGCAGCCATGGGTTAAAAATAGGAAATGTAAAATATGGCAGTATGATCATCACAGAGCGGATGAATTGCACTGTGAGGACAAATGTTTTCAGTTCATTGGCAGTCGGTCAGGTTGTGGCAAATATTGGCTATATTTGGCACTTGGCAAGGAACCCGTTTCTCCAAACTTAGTCATATAATAATGGTGTGACGCACTGAATACACCTCTGAAGGGCTGAAGTGAAAGTGGCAGTGTTGTATCTCCTGGTGATATTGCAGCAGCTGTCTTCAGATGGAACAAGGTGATCAAAGAGCTCCAGCTCAGGAGCACTTCAGTCACCTTGATCAATCTGTGTATAGGAATGAGTCTCTTAGTGACGTTAGTGGGAGTTTCACAATCTGTATTGACGCACATTATACAAGGTTTGTAAGTAGTATGATATATCAGAATACATATGAAAAAGACTAAAAATATACACATACTCCAAACACACATACTCCACTGAACTCCAGATTCACATTTTGAGTCAATAGAAAGGCTTTAAGTGGGATGGCTAGAAAGGATGACTGTATTTCTGCACAGGTTGCATGCGCTTAGTTTTGTAATAATGTCTCAGAGATGTAGAGATGCATAGAAATTATTTGGTTACGCCGTAACTCGTAATGTATGACTATGTCAACTCTACTTAGCATTAAGACGTTTTGCAGATGTGCAGTAGCTGCAAACATCTGATTGTGTATTTTAACCCATGACTCTGTTGCCTTAGCGGAAGAGGCATGATTGAAATCTATGTGAATGATAGGGTAGTGGTAATTTCTGGGTAGCGTACAGGATGAGGAGAATTTTTTTGGCCCATGGGGGTCATGTGATTTGTATTTCTGACAGTAGCTTCTAAGACAAACTCGTCTACAGCCGAGCCTGTTCCTGAGGCCTGGATGACTGCACACTAGCCTTGGTGCTTGTAAACAGTTGCATCTTACAACATTAGTTGCTTTGCTAATGTAGCTTACTGACGACTAGCTAGCTAAACATCAGTATTGAGGTGTGTTTAGAGGAAATACAAAACAAAATGTCACCTTGTTATTCATGCAAACTTAACTCTAGGACCATTTATGCAGTCTTTGTTCATTTGCCTCAAACAGCCAACTATTTGTGCTCAGCTCAGCCTCTGACTGATCTCAGAACTCACCAGAAACTCCAGGTTTTTTTGTAATTTTCTCTCCGGTCTCTCTCCAATGTCCCCCCATCTATAGACCTGTGTAGAGTCGTATTTTCCCTGGGTTTTTTTTTTTGCTTATGTTGAAACGGTTTCACATTGCATGGTTGCATTTTCACTTACATTTCACCTGCCTTGAGCGAAATCGAGTCAGTCTGCATCTATTTGCATCTACAGCTATCTATCTTTTTAATCATTGTCCCAACTTGTCAAAAGCAAAGCATGAGTTCAAACTAGGGACCATCTGTCAATAGGATCATAGCAACCATGACCTACAAGTACTCCGTAGTTGTTACTATTTTATTACTAAATTATCACGTGTAATCAGCACTCATCAGTCGGACCACACCCAGCTTTGAACTCGGGCTTCACATTAATCTCAACCATACACTTTTAATGTTTCGTGACTGTATCTTACACAGTTGTGATGTTATTGTGTTTACAAAATCTGTCCACAGAAAGAGAGACATATGAACACTCAAAACCTCAGTCTCGGTGGTAGTTGCTGCTACAGTAGGTGTCCCCAGGGCCACGTTTTGCCATGATCACGCACACACATACAAACACACGCACTATATTCGTGGAGACCTCTCTTTGACATAATGCATTCCCTAGCCCCTTACCATTACCTTAACCATCACAGCTGAATGCCTAACCCCCTCACCCTAATTCTACCCCTAAACATAAAACCAAATCTTAAACCTCAAACAGCCATTTCAATTTGTAGGGGTTCAGCATTTGATCCTGGTTTTTGGACCCTACGAATATAATGAAACAAAACCACACACGCACACACTCGCACACACAGAGACACTCACAAGCTGAAATACCAGCCCTGCTGTTGCGCCTGGTAAATGTGTAGTGGAAAAATGTTTTTTGATAAATTTATTTGTCAGGGACCATGAACAAAACCATTCTTTTCATACAAAGAGAAGAGACGCTATGCACCAGATTTAGCTACTAGCTACTCTCTGTCTGCTCTAGGTTGGTCTACAAAAATACGCCATCCCTTGAGAAGTTTTCCCGTTGCTCAAAAAGTAGAAATAAACACTACACAGAGCCTTTTCTCCTATGTTACACCAGAGGGAGGGATACGCATTGGGAAACAATGTCATTATCACGTCTCTGTGATTTGGATAAAATAATCACTATAAGCCAATATTTTGTCAAAATATTAATATTATTAACCACTAATTGAAAGAATTAACCATTTATTTGTATGAGTAATGTGACCAAAGGTCTCAGAACAGACTGTAAACAGTTAAGGCCTTGAACTTACCCTAAAGAGAACTCAGACACCTGTGTAATGAACTCACAAGTGGCTCTGTACACTAGTGAGAAGTTGCAACTATTTCCTGAATACAAACAATTTATTTATGAGTTTTGCTGTTGCTACATAGCTAGCATTAGCATTAACAGCTGTTTACTTCACAGTCTAGAAGAAACGTTTTGAGTTTTTTTTCAGCATCAAACTTCATTCCTTTACATGCCAAGAGCTGTCTCCAGCAGTGGAAAGCAACGCCAATGTTAACTCTTGTTTCTATCACACCTTGTCTTCTACTGAAGTTAGCATGCTAACCAGCTAGCCCCGGCTTGTCTCGTCATTTTCCGATAGCGACTCACTGTAGCCTCCAATCTGCCCTTAAGACATACCGCTGCTCAGAGGGGGTATTATAACCTTTTGTATTGTAAACACAACCCTAACCCTAACAAACCGAAGCTCTTGTCAAGCAACAATCACCACCACCCGCTCTCGGCAAGAAACCACGTTTAGCGGCAGAGAAAACATAGAAATACCACCTTAACACCTTAGCTTATAATAAAGTTTGGCCATTGCCCAGAATAAATAATAAAGTCAATAAGTCAATATATTCACATTTTAGAGAATATATTTAATATTTTCCTCATACTTTATATATTATATATCAACCCAACCCATCCACTGTTAATCAGAATGTTAATTTTTATGATTTGGCCCACGTGATCCAAGGATTAACCGCAGTGACCGCAGATATGACTGTGTTTCGTGCATCACTGCTGTACACACAGTATTGCTGGGTTTTGTCTACACAAGGAGATGAATGAGAAATGTCATGTCAGGATGCTTGTAGGTCGTCTGCTCATTTCCACAACCTTTGGGACGTTCAGATAATACATTTTCTGTCAGCGTTCAGATTCTTGTGGCTACATTAATATAGAAAGTATAATTTGGGCTGACAGAAAAGTTACGAGCACTACAACGTTATTGTCTTCTCCATTTCTAAAGCTCAGAATGGTTCATTCAGTCTGAAAGCAAGAAGTCAGACAAACAACTGAGCTACGAGCTCATACATAACAAGAAAAACTAGATGAATGGTACAGATGCAGTTACATCACCAAGAAATATAACGTTGATGAGCAAATGGAGAGGGAAGTTTGTGAACTTGCGAATTCCCTGCCAATGTGGTTGATTGTGGAAATTAAGGGATGCCGCCAGACGGCCTGGAAATCCCTAAAACTATTGCATAGTTGGCAGATGATAACTGGCTTTGCCCCAAAGGCTGCTCTTGACCAACATCAGAAAATACCAAAGTTAAAGGACTTGGGACGGGCGGGGTGAGGTGCAGTGGTTGCAGTTAGATTTCAGCCCTTATGCTTCACGTTTAGGCTTAAATTTGAGGAAAACATTAAAGAAGTCTGGCTGGTAGGGTTAGCTGGTAGTTATGGCCTGCTTTGTGTTTACGAGTGCTGTACGGTCCAGCGATGTCCATCCTCACACAAAAAAACTTTTTTGAAATTTCTATTTAATTATCCCCAAAAATCCCTTTTCACCTGTTTGCTGTTAGATCCCTGTTCACTATTTTAATAGAGACGTTTCTTCACTGGGCTTCTTCATAAATGTTGACCTTGGCCCTCATAAATGTCAGTATTAATCAGTAACATCAGCCTGTGGCCAAGAGAGTTCGTCTTTACAGTAAAGTCAGTGGTCAGGTGAACACACACACACACATACACACACACACTTCACAAAGCTTTTACAAAGTTTTATAAGTGGTATCAGTTTCCATATAATTGTCATAAGATTCACATGCGCACGCACACTCACACACACACACACAAAACACACACAAAACACACTCACACCCACCTATGCCAACCCTGTTCCGTCAAGGCTCCCCCCATTTACGGTAAATGTGTGTTTTTGTCATCCGTGGGCCTGGATGAAGTGATGCAGTTAGTTTTGGTATCATGTCCGTGGCCATGCATCTCCACCACCGAGAGAGACAGAGAGCAGTGCAGCGTGGGTAGGCGTGGGAGGGCTGTGACAGAGATGACTCAGCTTTCTGTTGCCGGGTAGAGAAGCACCAAACGCTCTCCCACCCCCATACATTTTAAAAAATACTGTATCTAACGTAGTTCTCATTCAAGCTTCAGCCTTGGGTAAACACTTACCAAAACTGCACTTGGATAAC